CGTCGATCTTCGCCGACTTGAGCTGGTACTTCCAATCGAGGTAGTCGCAGGCTGGGGCGTCCCTGATGTCCTTCTGGATCAGCTCCCCGTACTGCTTGGCCACTGGCTTCATCGAGAACTTCTCCTCTGGGCCCGCCACCTCCTGCTCCGACGAGCTTACTGTCTCCGACATGTCGTCCGAGTCCCTTACCTTCAGCACTCGCTTGGCCTCGACGTCTGGGGCGAGCTTGATGTCCACCTGGATCAGCCCCCTGTTCAGCTTCGCTGGCTTCGCCGAGAACTTCTCCTCAGGGCCCGTCGCTGTCGCCTCCGACACGCTCGCCAGATCCGTGATGTCGTCCACCGTCTCCGACAGTCTGCTTCCTCTGGCTGCGGTCCCCACCCCTCCCCGCCGGCGCCGTCCTTGACTTTCTCCTCGCTGGGGGGGGCGGGGCCCGCCTCGGCGCCCTTGTGGCACCCCGACCCGTCCATCTTCTTCAGCTCCTCCTTGCCGACAGCCGCCGCCAACTGCCCGACCTCCACGATCAGCTGCAGCGCGAGCGGGTGCGACTGGGTGTTGCGGAGCTTGCTGAGCTTGCCCAGCCGAGCGGCGGCATTGCTGCCCCGCTCCCCGTGGGCCCGCAGCCACCGCTTCGCGTCCGTGACGTTCAGCTCGCCTGCGTGCCCCGACACGGCCTTGACCTTCGCCAGCACGACGTCCATGTCGCCGACGGGGTCCTGGTCGTCGCCACCTGCGCCAGCACACGGCCTGCTGCCCGCGGCCGCCCCTTGGGCTGCCCCGCGCGCCGCCGCCGCAACCAGCGCCGTCGTGGCTTTTGGGCCCAAGGCAGGGCCTGCTGCCGCAGGAGGGGGGAGGAGGAGGAAAAGGAGAGGAGGATGGAGGAGGAGGAGAAATAATGAGGGCGAGTAGGAGCAAGGGGGCGATGAGGGAGGACAAGGAGGATGATGGAAAATCAAGACGCGGACGAGGATGGTAACCATAATCATAGTAACCGCCAACACTTGAAAACACATCGATCCTCCTGACCCTTTGTTCCCAACCATCGTATGGTTTTGGGTCCTCGTTTTGAAGAGACGGTCCCCGCGTTCCCCTCCTCTCCTCTCCTCCCTCCTCTCGTCACCATCATCATCATCACCATCACCATCACCATCACCATCACCATCACCATCACCATCATCACCATCATCACCATCATCATCACCATCATCATCACCATCATCATCACCATCATCACCATCATCATCATCATCATCATCATCATCATCATCATCATCATCATCATCATCATCATCATCATCATCATCACTCGTTTCAGCACACCCATCACACGTTTCGTGGCCCCATAGGGAGCCCCACCGAAGGTCCCAGTGCTACCGTCCGCATGCGTCCCACCCACCCAGTGCAGCGTTTCGTGGCCCTCTGCCCCTCCTACCTGCGTTTCACCCACCCAATACAACATTTCGTGGCCCCATAGGGAGCTCCACCGAAGGTCCCAGTGCTACCGTCCGCATGCGTCCCCCCCCACCCAGTACAAAGCTTCGTGGCCCCATAGGGAACCCCACCGAAAGTCCCAGTGCTACAGTCCGCACGCGTCCCCCCCACCCAATACAGCGTTTCGTCGCCCCATAGGGAGCCCCACCGAAGGTCCCAGTGATACCGTCCGCATGCGTCCCCGCCACCCAGTACAGCTTTTCGTGGCCCCATAGGGAGCCCCACCGAAGATCCCAGTGCTACCGTCCGCATGCGTCCCGAAAACCCAATGTGGCATTTTCACCCATCCAATGCAAAATTTCGTGGCAACGGGACCGTCCGCAAGCGTCCGGAAACACCCAATGTTGCATTTTCACCCACCCAGTACAGCGTTTCGTGGCCCCATAGGGAGCTCCACCGAAGGCCCCAGTGCCACCGTCCGCATGCGTCCCGAAAACCCAATGTGGCATTTTCACCTTCCCCAGTACAGCGCTTCGTGGCCCCACAGGGAGCCCCACCGAAGCCCCCAATGGGACCGTCCGCATGCGTCCCCGAAACTTAATTTGATATTTTCACCTACCCAATACAGCGTTTCGTGGTCCCTTAGGGAGCTCCACCGAAGCCCCCAGGGGACCGTCCGCATGCGTCCCGGAAACGTTTTGGCATTTTCACCCACCCAGTACAGCGCTTCGTGGCCCCATAAGGAGCTCCACCGAAGCCCCCAGTGGGACCGTCCGCATGCGTCCCAGAAGCCCAATTTGGCACACCACCCACCCAGTACAGCGTTCCCCCCCACCCAGTGCAGCGCTGCGTGGCCCCATGGGGAGCTTCACTGAAGGAGATATTCATAATTGCGGTACCCACAACTGCATATGGTTGGGTCCTTCGCCAGATAATTTCCTGCCCCTTTCGGTGGGACCGCGGGAGTATAAAGGCGAGGAGGAAAGACGAGAGGAAGGGCAATGGGAGAGAAAAAAAACGGGAGCGGGAGAGGGGAGGATGGGGTGAAGGTGGAGCAGCAAGGAGGACTGGGAGCGTTATACTTGAATGAGGATGAGAAGATGAGGAAGACGGGTAGAGCAGGGAGGAGGGTAGGGGGAAAAGATGGACGAGATGGATGAAGCCGAGGAGGAGGAGGATGAGGGGGAGAGCGATGATGAACGGCGAGGGGGATGGGGGTGAGGACGAGGAAGGTCTTGCTGTCGCTCGGACCCGTTTTTTCGTGTGCGCGTTTTTTTCTTGCAGGGGGTGCCGCAGAAAGTCGAACTCCTCACAGCTCGACACAGCGGCCTGCATGGGCCCATGGAGCGAATGGATCCACAAAGAAACGCGTCAAAACACTCAAATCCCATACGTCCGAGAGGCGCCCCTGGGCTGGGGGGAGGTGAAGGGCAACGATGAGGGGTGACCGCCCTATCCCCTCCTCCTCCCCTTCCTCATGCCCCCTTCCCCCTGCCGCTACCCCTGCGCGATCTCCCCGCCCCCGCCCTAGAGAGGCAGCATCAGGGGGGGGACAAGGCATCGGAAAGGCATCGCCGATAGATCGGCGACAGACCCCGGATAGCAAATCTGCACGTTCCTGGGTGGGGTGGGCTATGGATCCATATCGGCAATGATGAAGGGGCCCTGGGACACACAAACAAATACACACAAATAACAGGATTCCCCATATTTTCTTATATTTCTGGGTTTTTGTATTCCCCCCCACTTCCCATATTTTCCAATGTTATCCTGGGAGTCGACGATTAATTGTGTCCGTGTGTTTCCTTCTCTCCTGAAATGAGTGGGCGATTGGGGATCGATGCATCTCCCCTGAACCCATCCCCGTCTCTGGCGGTGTTCGGGCCACAGCTCGGCACATTGGCGGCCTTTCGGGACGACCTGGGCACCCCCAGAGCGCTCTCGGCCAGGCGCAGCTGCTGGAGAGCATCCCGAAAGGCTGGAACATCGCGGAGATCCGACGAACACACACACACCCGAGTCTCTCGAACCTCGAAGCCGAACTGTCTCCCCCTAACGTGGCCCCTGGGTTGGGGGTGAGGGCGGGGGATGTGGCAAAAAACTTCGGGTTGCGCACAGACAGCCTCCCCAGGCAGACCCGACTGGCCTCAGCAGCCCCCCCGGGAGGTCCAAAGCGGTCTCCACACCCCAACCCTGGGGCGCGGCGCGCCCCCAGCGGCTCCGCCGGAAGCGGCACCGAGGTGTTTGGACCGCCCAGCTCAGGACTACTCGGGAGGCTCGTTCAGAGGCCTCCCAGATGGGGTCCCAGCAGGTGGGGGCGGAGGACCTCGCCGCATCGCCGATGCATCGGCGACGTGGGCCCCACATCGAGCCGCATCGCCGATGCCTCGCCGATGCTGCGCGATCCTCCGACCCCACTTACTCTGGCCCCATCCAATTAGGAGGCCTAGGTTGTTGAGGCCAACTGGGACTACGTACAGTCGAAACAGGGCCCACAGAGCGTGGACCAAAGACCGCGCGCCCCGCCGTCGAAGGCCAGGGCCCCCCATGGAGCTGCCCCTCCCGAAGCACAGCCGGAGGCGGGGGGGCCCCACGGCGAAGAACAGAAGGGCACCGCTCCGAAACCCAGGTCGCCCCCGGCCCTCGTTCGGAAGCCGGGCAAGGGCTGCTAAATCCGTGGCTGCTAAAATCGACCTCCGGGAAGTTGTCTTCGTCCTTCCGGGAAGAAGCCCGTTGACTGTTTCGCGTGCCGCGCCTCATTCCGGGAAGTTGTTTTTTCCTTCCGGGAGGGCCGTTTTAGCAGCCACGGTGTTAGCAGCCCTCGCCCAGCTTTCGACTCGTGCAAACTGTGCCTTGGGGGGCGGGGCCATCTGCGCGCAGCCCCGAAGCCGCACCGCGGGGACGTGCCGCCGCCGCTGCCGCTGCCGCTGGGCTCTTTGCCGCCCCGGGCGCGCGCCCTGTCCCCGCCCCCGCGCGCGCAGCCGCAAGGCATCGAGCTGGGCGAGGAGACGCGGACGCGCAGAGAGGGGTCCGGGCCGCTCGGGGGCGTTGAAACAAAAAAAACAACGCGGCCGCGGCCCCGGCAGGACGGCGGCGACCATGCGCCGACGTCGCTTGCTGGCTGGTGGGGGCACGGAGGAGGGCAGGGAGGGAGGAGAGAGGAGGAAGGGAAGTGGAGGGAGGGAGGGAGGGAGGGAGGGGAGGGAGGAGGGAGGGAACCGCGCCGGCACCAAGGCAACGGTCTCAGAGCGAACCCCGGATGTGCAGGCTCGTTCCGCCGTGCACACAGGTTGCTCACAGTACCGTTCCCTCCCCGAGTAGCAGCGAAGGGTGGGTGGACGGGGCGGCGCGCCAAGAGGGGGGAAGGCAGAGGGGGCGGGCCCTCTCAGAAGGCCCAGAAGGCCCCCCACCTTTCCGGGACACTTTCTGAGTCTCCTCCAGGGACGGGGGCGCCCCTTCGGCAGGCCCGAGGGCTTCTTGGAAGCCCCGCCGCCTTCTGCGAAGGCCTGCTCCCTTGGCCTTCCCCCCCGGGGCTCGCCGTCGAGGGAAGGCGAAGACGCGGCACGGCCTACACGACCCTTGCCGCGGCGGCGCCGGTCGCTGGAGCCCTCTGGGCGCCAGCCTCTGCTCCCTCGTATGGCCTCGGCGACCAGGGCGTGGCCCTGTCCGCCAGCGGCAAGGTAACGCTCCGCCGCGCGCACAGCTCCTCCTCGAGGCCACGCACCATCGTCTCCAACACGGAGTTGACAGTGTACGCTCCGCCGTACGGCCTCCAGAGTTCGTAGATGATCTGCAGCGTCATGACGATGGCGCCGCTCATGGCCCCGAAAAAGATGCCCTGGACAAACAGGATGCTGGGCTCGCCGTCGGTCAGGTTGGTGACGGGGGCCATGGACACGTTCCTGGGGGGCGCACCCGCACTGGCGGAAGGCCGTGCGGGAGGGGCAGGCGGGCGAGAAGGACGAGAGGAGCGGAGCGCGCGGTGATCGCCAGTGGCGGGGCCCACAAGGCCAGCGCGGGTGGGCCGTGGAGTCGGAGTCGGCGTAGGGAGGCTGGGGAAGTGAAAACGTCAAGGGGGAGTGTTCTGGATCCGGCGTCGGCGTCCGACATGTACGGAAGGAGGGGCGATAGGAGGGCGGCAGGAAGGAGATGGCGTGAAGGACGGGGAGGGCGAGAAGAAGGAGAAAGAGGCTGGGGGGAGGAGGGGCACGAACAAAAAGCGGAAGGATGGGGAGCACGATGAGGACGGTCAGGGGGATGACGGAGCGGATCCGCAGAGCCAGCAGCCTGCGCGACAGCCTCGCGACGCACGCTTACCCGCACGAGGCCAGCCGACACCCCTCCGCGCGCCGGCAGCGACGAGGCTCCAGCGCGTCCGCCGCGAGGCAGCGCGCTGCGAAGCACAGCCAGAGAAAACGCGGGGGGTAGGCCGCAACGCCCGTGCCACCCCGCTTGGGAAGGCTTCGGGTTGCGCACAGACGGGCCCCCCCCACCCCAGGCAGTCCCAGCTGGCCTCTGCGGTCGTGTGCACGTCTGAAACAACACACACGCAAATACATTCACTCAACCTTTCGAAGACGCCGAAGATGACCCCAAGACGGCCCAAAAGGCCCCCAAGACAGCCCAAGAGGCCTCCAAGACGCCCCAAGGGCCTTCCAAGAGGCCTCCGAAGAGGGCCCCAAGAGGCCAAAATCGTTGATTTTCATTGTTTTTTTCGATGTTTTTTGCGTTCTGGCTTTTTCGGCTTCCGGACGCTCCAAGACGGCCCAAGAGGCCCCCAAGACCGCTCCAAGACGGCCCACGAGGCTCCCAAGACGGCCCCGGAACGGCCCAGGAGGGCCCCCAAGACGGCCCAAGTGCCGCCCAAGACGGACCAAGAGGCCCCAAGACGGGCCCAAGAGGGGCTCAAGAGGGGAACCGAGAACTGAAAAATCGAGCCCTCCGCCCCAGAAGGCGCCCAGGAGGCCCCAAAAAGGCCCCAAGAGGCGCCCAAGAGGCCCAAAAGAGGCCCCAAGAGGCCCCAAAACGGCCCCCAAGAGGCCCCCAAACTCGGCTAGCCCACAACGGTGCGACAATATGGGCCGGCGGAATGAGCGAAGCGATTAAATACATTCACTCAACCTTTCGGAGGTCCGCGTGGATTTCTTCGGTCGGCGCTCAATCCCCCCTCCCCGGGCGCTCGCCAGAGGGCGGCGCTTGAGGCGCCGCAGAGGGGGGGCTTCGGCGACCTGATAAAACCGTGCTGGGTTCCGAAAGTTCATGCTCATGAAGCTTTTGGCCGGGCGCCTCTCGCGTTCTTATCTGGGGCCTCCTGGGTCGCTCTGGAAGCCTGGGATGAACTTCGCTTGGTCAGCCTGGCAGGCGACGTCGACGGTGAGGGGCAATGTTAGAGGGAGCCGGCTCAGGGGGAGAGGGGGGGAACATCGAGCTTGAATCGGCGATACATCGCCGACAGATCGGCGATGGGCCCCTGGTAGCGAACTCTCACGTTCCTGGACGGGGTGGGCCTCTATCAGCGATGAATGGCCGACAACAGCAGGCCCGTATCATAAGGATGCGCGACAGGGATGCGAGGGCCGTGTACGCCCACTTCGAAGCTTTTCGAGCGGGGCGCGGCCAACGCAAATGGCCAAGAATGGACCGAGGGGGCAAGGATGCAAGGGCACCCTTGAGAAGGTTGCCCATCCTTGCTATGCGGGCTGACTGTGAGGGTCGATGCATGGTGATCCTGAGCGTGACGATCTGTCTAACGCTGCCCCCGAGCCGACGGCAGCGGCGGCGGCGAGCCCCTCGGTCTCCCGGCCCCGAGGAAGGGAAAGGCGAGCAGCTCCAGCAGGCCGAGCGCGTACCTCGCGAGCCCCTCGTCCACCTCCCCCTGTTCCTCGCCTCTCCTTTGCCACCCTCCTCCCTCCTCCTCCCTCCTCCTCCCTCCTCCTCTTCCTCCTCCTTCTCCTCCTTCTCCTCCTACTCCTCCTCCCCCTCCTCCTCGATCTTACCCCTCCCTCCTCGTCCCCCTCCTCCTCCTCCTCCTCCTCCTCCTCCTCCTCTCCTCCTCTTCCGCGCGGAGCTCGGACAATTGATGTTTATGCAAACTTTCGTCACTCGATCTTCCGCCTCCCTCCTCCTCCCCCTCCTCCTCCCCCATCCCTTCGCCTCATAAGCAATTCCTCCCTGCCGCACCCTGAGACAAGTCGGGAGGGCGCGGCCGAGCGTTTTGCCTGAGACTTCCTCATCATGTCTGATCCTTATGCTGAAAAGGTTTCAATCACTGCACGGATGGAGGGCGGATCGTTCTCAAAATGTGGCTGTCGCCGGAGCGCCGCGCCCATTCGTCCTAAACATCTGCAAGAACTTCACGGATGGAGGCGGGCCGCTTTCAAGCGTGTGGCGCTCGCTTTAGCGCCGCGCACAGGTCTCGTCTCAGACATCTGCGAGCGTTTCACGGATGGAGGGCGGGCCGCTTTTCAAGCGTGTGGCGCTCGCTTTAGCGCCGCGCACAGGTCTCGTCTCAGACGTCTGCGAGCGTTTCACGGATCGAAGGCGGGCCGTTTCCCAGATGTGGCTCTCGCCTGAACGCCGGATTGCAAAAAAAACGCAGGATTGCAAAACAAAACCCAAGGATTGCAACAAGAAACCCAGGATTGCAAACAAATAAACGAAGGATTGCAAAAAAACCTTCGAAGGATTGCAAACAAAAAATTCACAATCCTTCGCACTTTTTTTTTTTTTTTTTTTTTTTTTTTTGCAATCCTTCGCACATTCGTCATAACACATTGCACATTCACGGTCGGACGGCGGCCGCTTTTCTTCAAAACGTGGCCCTCGCCTGCTCGCCGCGCCTGCGCGCCGCGCACGCTCGTCTTCAAAAGTGTGCGCAACCTCTCGCGGATTCTCGTGGCCAACGCCCCAGAAGCGGTGTTTCGGCACGACGTCGGACTGTCAGGGCGCAGCAGTGACGGTGATTCGCGGCGTTGGAATCCCCGGCATGGTGTTCTTGCGCAGCTCCGGCTTTTCAAATGGGTTGTCTTCTAACGGTGCACTGCCCCCAGTGAAAACGAACCCTTGCAGGGGCCTGTGAGGAGGGAACTTGGAGGGAGGGTGTCTTGCAATATCGTTGATGGATCTGGTGTTTACACGGGTCTCTTCCTCCTCTTCCTCCTCCTCCTCCTACTCCTCCTCCACCTCCTCCTCCTCCTCTCCTCCTCCTCCTACTCCTCCTCTTTTCCTCCTCTTTTCCTCCTCTTTTCCTCCTCCTCCTCCTCCTGCTCCTCCTCCTGCTGCTCCTCCTCCTCCTCCTCCTTCTTCCTCCTCCTCTTCCTTCTCCTGCTTCTCCTCCTCCTGCTTCTCCTCCTCCTCCTCCTCCTGTTCGATCTTCCTCCGTCCTCCTCCTCTCCCTGGCCCCCTCGTCGTACAATAGGAGGAAGTGCACCGCCGGCAACTTGCGCTGCATCGCCCCGAGCCGTACCGCGCGGGCCTGCCGGAGGTCGCGGACGGTGTCGTAGATGATCGAGGGCACGCCTCTCTGCGAGGGGGAGGGACCACGACGGGGCAGGGCGGGAGGGGAGGGGAGGAGGACAGGTCAGGGAGAGGGGGGGGGAGGGAGGGAGGAGGATGGAGGAGGTAGGGAGGAGGGGAGGGAGGACTGGTATGGTAGGGAGGGCATGTCAGGGGGAGGAGGAGGGGGGGGATTCAGGATGGAGGAGAAGGGGGTCAGGGAGGGAGGGCTTGAGGTAATATGGCTTTGGGGCGCCTTAGTCTCGTCACCACGTTAGCCCCGTGATGGGGCCCGGTTTCCTTGTTGCACTACCCTTGCTTGCACGGTGGACGCAAGCGCTCGTGGCTGATTCCATCGCGTCCATCGAAGAACAGATCGTAAGGTAACACCCTCCACCCCCTCCCTCGACGCAGGCCTTGACAGGGCGCCCACAAGCGCGGCCAAAGTTGTTCCGGATCATATGTTGCCACTCTTGTACTTAAGTCGTGCGTGGCACTTGTGGTATGCGTACACGGTCGGATTCTTTGGTTGGAGTGACCACTGAAATCGGATTCTTTGGTTGGAGTGGTACCACTGAAAAGAAATTCGACAACGTCTGTGATGGAACTGGTTGTGGTGGCGATGGTGCGCGCGCGGGAGAAACGTGACATGTCTGGGTGGAGGCCGCTGCCGAAGTGGCGCCTGGTGACGTACGTCGCGTGTGTCCAACGAAGATGTCTCCATCGGCATGAGTGGGACCCGGTCTGTATGAGATTCAGGAAGTGGTGTCGGATGGTGGATCTGAGTGTTGCTCACGTGGGCCGTCAGTGTAGCTTCGGTGGTTGTGATGTCGGTCTGCATCTTCTGAACACTCTGCTGTGTGCCCCGTATCTCAACGTTGGCGTCGTGGGTTCGCTGGGGGTACCGGCCCAGCCAATGCTCTAAGTCCTGGGTTCGTTGGTGGTGTGTGTCTCGGTCATGTTCCAAACGTGCGAATGCATCTTCGGCCCGTGCCTTTTTAGCGTCTCTTTCCTGGGACATCTGGGTGAATCGTAACTGCACGTGGTCCGCCGCCGTCCGTACCTCGGCCGACTGGGCTTCCATGGAGGTGAAATTGTAAACAGAAGTCGGTGTTCCCAGCTGATCAGTCTTGGTCCGTACAACGCGCAACTTAGCCAATGCACTCTTTATTTCGTGTAACTGCTGCCCGACTGTGGAGACTCGGTTTTCAAGCGTTGGCGCACGTCCCCCGGATGCATCAAGACGTTGAGCGATGGCCATCCCGGCACTACGCAGCTTGCCGTGCAACGCAAACGTGAGCGTGGTATGTTGGGAGTGTATGTTGGCAGTCGTCATTTCCACGAAGGTGCGAAACGTAAGGTCATCGCGTTTTTTTTTTTTGTTGTTGTTGTTGTTTTTTTTCTTCGTTCTCTTTCCCCCGTCGTAGGTCCATTTACCTCCATAGCTGGGATATGCCGTGCTGTCTGGAGCTCATCGTGTAGTGTCCTGGTGGCGGCAATGTCCGTGTCCCTGACGCTCACACATTGGGCCCCCGTTCTAAGGATGAAATCGTGTAACGTCGGAAGTGTGGTGGAGCCAGAACCTCGTTGTGACTCCATTTCGTCGGTTTGATACTGGACCCGGGTAAGGATCGATCGATCTTCAGCGGTCCAAACGTCGACCAAAGCAGGGGCGTGGTGTAGCTCCTGCGTTAATGTGGCTGTTCGTGCAACCTGACCCGACAACTATGTGTCGTGTAAATTTCAACCTGGTCTCGGAACTCTGCCGTGTCATTGGCTGAGGGATATGCGCGCGATACCAGCTCGCGTCGCAAGGAGCTTTGCCGTGAGCGCCTCTGAGAACGGCTGCGGCTATTGTCCCTGTTGAGATATCGAATGTGGTACCGTTCTGAACCTTTCGCCGAGATGTCCGTCCTGTGCGATTCTCGATAACGCGCGCGTGTTCAGAGACAGAAAAATTAGTGGGGGCAAGACCTTCGCCTGGCGGCGGGGGCGCGCGAAAGCGTTGTCTGGAAACGTCTTTCTGGCGCCGCCGCTGCGGGTGCACCCACTGGCACATGGTCCATCGGCGATGGTTGGAAAAGAAGAAAAAGGAGGCGAGGCGAATCCAGCGGTGACTCCGAGGCCAACTGCTGGTGTTCCCACCGGCGCACGGGAAAGATCGAAGGCGGCGCCAGGAAACGGTCTGGTGGACCTATCAGGCGCCGAAGCCATATGTACGTTCCCAGGCGCGTGAGCGCGCGCGGGCGGCGGCAGCGGCGGGTCAGGGAAAAACTCGCCAAGAGCGGCCGCGAGCGACGCGGAACTGCCTTCGCCTGAAAGGGGGGGAATGGGTATCACGATTCTCTCGCCTTCTCCGTGTGGTCGCTGCGCCCGCGCTCCGTCGAAAACGCTGCGCGCATAGAGGCCCTGCGCCCCGTGGGGTGCAGGACCATGCGGCGGGGTCAAAGACGAAGAGCGTAAAATAATAGGCTGATAACCTGTGTGTATAGGTTAACCACCAAAGCGTCGAACCTATACGGTAAACAGTAGGTAGAGGTTAGCGAGGAAGAGATTCGCTACTCTTTTCCTGGGCGCTGTGCGGAGAGCAGCGCGGTGTGTACACCAATACCCGAGCCGATACGCTAGCGGTATGGAATGATATGATGGTGATATGAGCGGACTTCACACACAGCGCTTAACGGTGGACTTGTATCAGCATCGGATGCGTGACCAACAGGTGCCTCAATAGTACAACCTACTCCCATGTGAGGTGGTTGGAGTGAGGGAGGGGGGGATTAGGCAAAGGAGGGGGGGAGGAGGACGGAAGGCGCGAAGGAGGGGGGGGGGATGAGGGAAAGAAACCTGATGATGAGTATGCGAAAGAGTATGCGGAGGAGTATGTGGAGGAGGACGAGGAGGAGGATGGGAGATGATTAGATGGTTGGATGGGAAGGAACTTGGAAGTGGAGGGGAGAGATCAGAGAGGGGGAGGAGCAACAAACAGATGAGGAGCAGGAGGGAGAGCAACGAGGATGACGAGGGGGCTAAGTAGGAGGAGGAGGAGGAGGACAGCGACGAGGACAAGGATGAGGATGACGACGGCGAAGTAGGAGGGTGGATGGGGCTACGAGGAAGCGGAGAAAGAAGGGGGCGGAGGAGGGAAGGCGCCCGACGGTGTGCGAGGAGAAGGGAGGAGGACGAGGAAGAGGGCGAGCAAGGAGGGATGATGATAATGATGATGATGATGCTGCTGATGATGATGCTGATGATAATGATGATACTGATGATGATGATGCTGCTGCTGATGATGATGGTGCTGATGATGCTGATGACGATGATGCTGATGCTGATGCTGATGATGCTGATGCTGATGATAATGCGAATGCTGCTGCTGATGATGATGATGATGAGGAGGAGGAGGAGGAGGAGGAGGAGGAGGAGGAGGAGGAGAAGGAGGAGCAAGACGCCGACGACGGCGGGGGCCACGATCCCAACGATTCCCCCGAAGGCCGACGGATGTGGCGTATCCGCAGGCCCCCTCTCACTCTCGGCGGGGGCACTCGGCACTCAGCAGAAACCACGCGCACCTCTATAAGCCGCGGCCTGGGGCCCGCGCCAAGATTCCCTCTCCCCGGTTCCGGAAGGCTCCCGGCTGCGGAGGGGCTCCCTGCCCAGGGGTGCCCAAACGAACAAATAACAAACAAACATACAAACAACAAACAAACAAAGGCCCGGTCCCTGGGGGGTTCCTGGTCCCGGGGGGGGAGCGCTGAGGGAGGGGTAGGGGGGAGTGTGTGTGTGTGTGTGTGTGTGTGTGTGTGTTCCCGCGTGCCCTGCTGGAGCTGCGCAGGCTGGCTCCGTGCCCGCGTCGCCCCCGGCCTCCTCCGCCGCCTGCTCCGCCCCCGCCCTGCCCCGCCCCCGCCCCGCCTGCCTCGGCCCTCCTGGCGCTGCCGCCTGCTGCCCGGCCCTCCCGGCGCTCCGCGCCTCGGCCGCCGCCCCTCGCTCGCCGAGCCGGGGGCTGCGCAAGGGGCCCCCCGTGGCCCCTCGGGGCCTCGCGAGGGGTGCTCTTGCGGCCGCGGGGGCCTCCTTGGAAATCCCGGGAGGAGGAGGAGGAGGAGGAGGAGGAGGAGGAGGAGGAGGAGGAGGAGGAGGATAAGGATAAGGCCCTTGGGGGTCTGTCAACTTCGCCTACCGACAGGCATGCCGACCCCTGGGAGATATATGGATGCGAGCCCACCCTTGCTTTGGGGGGGCCGCCTGAGGCGACGGGGCCCGCCCCTCTGTTGGACGTGGTCCCCGAGCCTCGCTAGCAGGGAGACCCTGCCTCGGTTTCGGCCTGTCAACTGTTGCAGGCGGTGGGGGGCTGCCTCGCTGGGCGCACCCCTCACCGCTGAGAGCCCACCCACCTCCGCTCCCCACCCTCCCCACTCCCCACTCCCCAGACGGCAGAGAGAGGCAAAAAAAAGAAGAGGCGGCCTGGTACATCTCCCTGTAGGCTCTCGGCTAGTGTAGGTGCATGGCCGCACTGGCCCATGCGGTGAGTGCTTGCAGCCGAGCCCCCGCTTCTAGGGCTGAAGTGGGGAGAAAAAATGGGGAAAGCCAGGCCTGGTGCAATCTGCTCTCTACTGCTGCCCTATGCCCCAGCCTGCCGCTGCTGCCGCCCTTGGCGATGAGAGCCTGACGTCCCTGCTCTGAGCGGAGCCGTCGGCCTTAGTGACTGCGGTGGCGGCGGCTGGGGTGCTAGAGCTGGCCTCACTGCACAACACCTTGCCGCGGTTCTCCCAGCCCTCTATGCTCTTGCTCGGGCTGGTGCACGGCGGCCTGCGAGCGGGCTGGAGGTAGTCCTTGATCTCCATCTGCGGCTCCACCATCGGCTCCGTCTGCGTGTCGCAGGCGAAGGAAGCCTCGTCGTAGGCGTAGCCGTGCGGGCCCTTGGTCCAGCGCGTGTATATGTTGTCGATCTCGTCGGCCTGGCGCCTCGTGTAGTCCAGCTCCCATGGCATCGGGCCGTGCATCGTCTTGCCCAGCTTGTCGTCGGTGATGCCG